TATATATATATATATATATATTGTCCTTACATTCTTTCTTGTGTGACACCCCTGAATGAAAGGCTCATTATTATGCAGGGTCACTGTCTGAGAACCACTTAATTATTCATGATAGGGGTTGGGCCGTTCCGCCCATCCGCATATTGCCTTGGCAAACAAAAAAATGTTTTTCACAATTTAAAACAATCTATTGTTTTATGTGAATGATTAGGAAGGATGATTTTCAGATCATTTTGAAGCAAAAACTCTAGGCAACAACGTACATTAGTCAAAAGTCTTGTGGACTCATATTTAGTATGTTTTTTGTGTCCTTATTTCAAAAACTTTATTTTTTAGTTTTTTCAATAACCACGCATAAACAATATTCTCTCAAAAATACAAACATGTACATACATGTTGCTCACACATTATGGTAGACCTGTTTGTGCTAAATAGAGTTTAATTTCACCTGTGCCATTAATATGTTTATAAGCAACTGAAAAAAGCACAAATGTCAGAGCATGTCAAAACATCCAAAGGGCCCCAAAAACACTCTGGTCCCCAGAGGGTTAAGCACCCACTGAAAAGGTGTGTATATATTTGTTTACTGTTAGTTGTAACAAGTGTTTTGTGTACTTCACTGTGTATGTTGATGATAATGAAAGGGAGAGCTGAGAGTCAGCTGATGCAAGCTTGACTAACGTGACCTGCCAGAACTGATGCTGCGCTTGATTATAATTATTACTATTATTAAGTCTAAATTAGGCTTGAATTGGTTTGAAATTGACCCCATCCTTAATAGGCTATTTACATCTGAGTGAGTAGAGCTGGCTATTATGAAGGGGCAGGACATTTCCAGAACGCACTAAGCGGTGTCGAACAAAGCACACTGGGCCAATCTTGTCTACGTGACCACTGCCAATCCTGGAACCCCATACTACTGACCCCACCTGACAAGTTTATTTATCTGGAGTTTCTTCCAGATCTGCATCCACCAAGAGTGCCGGTGAACGTACTCGGTTACTAACGGAACCTCGGTTCTCTGAGATAACGGGAACGAGTATTGCTTCGCTAGACGCATTGGGAAAACTCCTTTTTCTCAGATTACTGAAGCCTTATAGAATCACGCAGTGAAACTGCACAAGTCAATGGTTGTGCCGCGGAGATGCATGAACCAATGGCTGCGCAGCGGAACCTATGGTGCTAAAGCCCGCCAAAATGGCAGCATGACAGCACGCCCAGCTATGCAATACTCATTCCCATTATCTCAGGGAACTAACGTTACGTTAGCAGCCGAGTACATTCCCTATCGATACAGTTCACTAATATTTTGTCGCTAGACGCATTGGGAACCCAGTCCAATCGCGCCGTGCTATAACTGCGGGATGACAATCAGTCTATGGCCTTTGCCTAGTACACTTGAATAAGGACCCAGAGGGCATCAAGGCTAAGGTAGGGCGAGGTAATCGCCGGAGACTAAGAGACTCAGACCGTTATGTCGGAGTCACAAAGGAGGGTTCTAGTGGGTCGAGCTCGTGTAGATGTCAAAGCCGAGCTAATCAGACTGGACCAGTGCTTGTAGAGCAGGGACGCCCAAGTTGTAAAATCTGGCTAAGGTGGACGGCGAGGACCAGCCGGCCACCGCACAGATGGCGCTAATGGACACTCCGCTGGACCAAGCCCAGGATGAGGCCATGTCTCTGGTGGAGTGGGCCCTTACTCCGATGGGCCACTGAAGGCCAATCATAAGCTAGCACAATCGCATCCACTATCCAGTGGGATAGTCTTCGCTTCGTGACCGGATGCCTTTTGGTATAGCCTCCGAAGCACACGAAGAGCTGCTCTGACTGCCTGATCTGGGCAGAGCGTTTTTTAAACTTAACATTTATAAACTTTCGTTTAATACTTTTCGTAGAGGCGTCTAGTGGAAAGGGCTTAACGAAAATAGTGGACAGGGTTAACGGAATAGTGTTTAAGATTCTGGAGGGAAGGTCCATAGGCTCCAGTCGAGGGGCCGGAAATGAAGGGCCCATAACTCGGGTCAGGGGTGCCAGATTGTTCCCTTTAACTGGGAAAGGAGGTCCTTCCTCAAGGGAATTGGCCCCAGGGCTGCTGTGAACATCTGCATCAACTCTGGGAGATATAGGGAAGGCTGAGCCATTTGTGGGCCAGCACATCTCTGTCCTTTGAGAAATATATTGGGCAGTGAGAGTTGTCTTCTGAGGTGAAGATGTCGACCTCATCTTCGATGGAAATGAAAGTAGGCATCTTTAAGATCCGCTGAAAAAATACAATCCTCACTTTGTGGGGAGAGTGAGTCACACGGGATCTACGCTGGCATGAGCTCACTCGCTTCTTCCTCCGCTCTCTGAGAAGAAATCGACCCAAAAGCAGAGAGAGGCGAGACTCATGCTCTCGCAATGTGAATAGCTAACAATGAGAACAGCTCGAAACAATCCATACTGTTAAAAGCGCTTAATAAATGAACGTGACTTGACTTGACTTGGTGAGCGTGGCTTCTGTGTGGGATTTTCTCAGACAGGCAACACACTCACTGTGCTCACCAGAGGAGTGGAGGGGTCCCCAGCTCGAGCCACATTCGTGGTGCGACATTTGCAACAATGGCGTGTGCGAAAATTTGCTTTGAAATTTGCTCTTTAGTATCGCCTTATAGCCGAGCACTGTCAATCAGCTTGCTGTCAATCAGCTTGCTTGCAGTGTGCCGATCGCTTTTTTCTGTCTCGGAGTCCAGCGAAGAGAAGATATTCGTCGCTGAAGGAGAATTAATCTGTGATCCTATTGGTGAATGCCCGCATATATATACGGGTAGCCCCTCCCATTTCGGTGGGCTTTAGCGCCATAGGTTCGTGCAGCTCAGCTGCGCAGTCAATGGTTCATGCAACTCCGCAGCTGTCTCTTTTATATAAGGCTTCAGTAATCTGAGAAAAAGGAGTTTTCCGAATGCGTCTAGTGATGCAATATGAGTGAACCGTATAGTAGAGATGTAATAGTAGAGATTTTGTCTACGTATTTTATAATGTTAACTTCAAATAATACTAATAGTTAGGGCTGTGACGGTGGCAGTTTTTTTACCACCGCAGTGGTGGTGGCTCGGTGGTGCGGTGGTTGTTTTGAAATAAAAAAAAGGTAGTGTTTATTTGAGCAAAAAAAGTGTTTATTTGAGCAATTCTGTCAAAGAAACAACACACTAAAGCCTGTAAAGCATTGAAATAAATATCAGTAAATATTGGTAACTTAAATAATATAATAAAGTTAAATCTATTTAAAAAGGCATTTAGGCTGTTTGATTTTGTGCTGCCAGAAAAAAAGCTAAACTAAAAATCACCCGCGCGTGTGAAAGGCGCTTTACAAATAAACTTGACACGCCTTACCATGTCTAATAACAAGAACAAACTATGTTAAAAAGAATTTGACGTGCAGGTAAAAAGGTAGGCTATCTTTCCTACAGCTTTTTTTACTTTACCACAGTAAAGAATACGAAAATAATAGACCTAATTAAAAGCGAACCAAGGAAGAAACATTTATAATCCCCTTCGAAAATGGGTGAGACGTAAGTGAAGATTTGGGTAACAAGAGATTCCATGCAGGGATGAGTCACGATTTTTGAATATTCGATTAGTTGATTTAATTATAGAATATCGAATAGGTTGTGCGATTATTCTCTAAAATAAAATCTCCATCTTTTCGGTGCTGATGCGGTGGTGGTGACGCGTTCATGTAACCGAGAATGTGACGCTGCCAATAACGCACATAACAGCTGTCACAAAGAACTGGCAAAAGTAATGATTACGAATGTGTCAAATTTAGCAAGGAGACATTTTAAATGTGTATTAATAAACTAGTGTTTTCTGTGTCAGTGTCGGGCTGCAAAGATAAAGTTGACGATGCTGACTCGTCATCTTCGCAGTGAACGTCTATAGAGAGAAATGCACACTTCCTACACACAGAATAGGCCTACATAAGCAGGCAGTATAGGCTAGTCGGTTTCTTTTCGTTTAGAATTGTTTTGTTTAAAAGTAGACAATTCAAGCTTTCTATATGGAATAACTAATGGAATATTGTTAAATTCGCTGATAATCGGGTGACCAGATCGCAAACCATAATTCAAAGCCGACAAAGCTTAAATTTATGGGCTCCCGCACAACTCTCTCATTCATCATGAATTTCCATGGCTGCGATGTAACATTTAATTGCTACCTAATATTTATTTTGTAAACAAAGCTTTGTGCTTCACTTGTGTCATAATATTCATGTAAAACAGCATTCACATACAAAAAATGTGTTTACGCGGACCACCGCCGGTGCTACGCAGCCATCGCGGTGGTGCGGTTGTCAAGTTTACCGGCACAGCCAGTAATTTAAAGATGTGGTAGCATTGGATCTGGACGGGAAGGATAACTCTGAGAGTTGGAAGGGGTGTGTCACGATTGCCTTCTCACACTGCGACACAGGTTCGTGGATCTGCAGAGGATCACGATTTCAGTTTCATATCGCATATCGTTACAGCCTAATAGATAGGGAACTGCAGACTGCTTTTGTTCTCTTCAAGCAATAAAGTTTGTTTCGGTACCTGCCTTCGCTCTTGGGTCCTTTGTTTCTCCTGACACTTTAACCATATTTCAAAGACAATAGAAGTAATTATAAAATATAGGCTACATTGCATATAAAGTTATACTTAAGTGGGTCAAAACACTCTAAATTTCAACTAATTGCATTTAATATTTAAACTATGATGCATTTTCATTTAGTAATTGCAATTAACATGCAATTAAGTGTCCGAAAACATTACATTCAGTTCACATACTTTCACAGTATATTATTTCTTTAATAAGTAGCATAATATTTTTAAAGGTATGCTGAAGTATACTTCTTTTTCACAAGGGCTCACAAACAGTGCAGAACAAGTTTAAATCTTGTCCAAATCCTTAACTCTATTTATCGGCAATAACAATAGGGAATGTTTGCTAATTATATCACAGCTCTCAGACATAATCACTCACCAACAGTGCAAAGTTTCTCCAGGTGAGTCTCAATCTCAGCCAATAAGGCTGCCTGTATATTTCTCATTGTGCCAAAGTTTAATTCAGTATCAATGGAAACCATCCAGTCATCTTTGAACTCAGCTGGTACAGACGGGTAAGACTGAAAAGGGACATATAATAGTATTATTTGGGACACACAATAGTATTATTTGGGGCATATAATAGTATTATTTTGTGTTTGTCAAATATTAGTCAGTATTTCATGATTAACTGACCTGCAGGAAGAAGATGACATCTTCCTCATTCATAGTGTGATTCAAAGAGTCGATTGTCTCCTTATACTTGAGAATGTCTTTTTGTAATTGTTGTGTCTTCTCATCCATCTCCTTCTCCAAACACCTCCTTCCGTCCTCCAGAGGAGCCAGCAGCACCTGCTCTGATCTCTTCACAGCCTCCATCACTGCAGCAAACACTTCCTTTATCTCCTGCTGCTCTCTTTCTATCAGAGCCTGCCAAGAGTGGAGGCATATAACACAAAAAATAAGCATATTCTTGATCTGGCAAGCTCTAAATCATTTCTTTGAGTCCATCAGTGTTATTATTGTTAAAGAAGGCATCTCTTCTCTGATGACATGTTTACTGGTGTGAAACTACTTTTGTTTTTGTTCCAGAAGCTATATCTCTCAGATATGTGTCACATGTGTAGTGGAGAAAAGTTTTCATGCCAACTTTATTGCAGTTTTAAAACTTTTATATCACTTTCTGCAATCGCGTTCTGTAACAAATCATTCCCTCAGAAGCCCTAAAATTTTACTTTTTTTTTTTTTTTCAGAAAGCTTATTTTATGTCATTTTGATAATATTTTTTCTATTTTTTAATGCAATTGGTTTGGAGATTCAGATAGATTATAGTAGACCTTATAAAATAATTGTTTGGTAAAGTTTTAGCATTTTTAGTTTGAAATTTTAGCATTTTTAGGTTTTTCTATGTGTACTGAAGCATTCCGTACAAAAAGAAGAATGTAAAGAATGTAAAGAAGAATATGCAAAGATCATGCAAAGACTAGTTTCACAAATATTTGACTTTGGGCATACAGACACAGAAACTTGCAGAAATTAAGTGGAAATGCATAACTTGCTACTAAAACTCTAAATATGTGGTTTATTAAAATAAGTTATTGTATCAGCCCAGTACTTAATAATCATGACTTTATTTCCTGGTGGACTGGTAAAACTTGCACACCCAGAATTCACTCATTGAATGACCTAGACCTAGGGAAAGAGTCCTGAACATGTAGCCGATTCCTGTTCACAAAACCTCTCCAGCTTTTACTGTCTTGCATTCTATATGATGTAATGTATATTCTCATTGGACGGTTGCTACATCACCATTGGACAACATATAAAAGCTAATGTACAGAAAGTAAAAGCTGGAGAGGTTTTGTGAACAGGAATCGGCTACATGTTCAGGACTCTTTCCATAGGTCTAGGTCATTCAATGAGTGAATTCTGGGTGTGCAAGTTTTACCAGTCCACCAGGAAATAAAGTCATGATTATAAAGTACTGGGCTGATACAATAACTTATTTTAATAAACCACATATTTAGAGTTTTAGTAGCAAGTTATGCATTTCCACTTAATTTCTGCAAGTTTCTGTGTCTGTATGCCCAAAGTCAAATATTTGTGAAACTAGTCTTTGCATGATCTTTGCATATTCTTCTTTACAAGGAACCTGAATGTAAATACAAATGTTGCCTTGCATCCGGTTTGCTGAACGTGTTGGTGTTTGTATTGCCACTGAGCTCTTTCTCCTGTCCTTGTCTTCTGTCGAAAACATGATTCTTCAAATTTAGTGTCTCCAATTCACCTATGTGGCTGTCACGATTTGGTCTTAGGTGTGTTCGACATCGGCTGCGGCTGGATGTAACCGATCAGCGAGAGTTGCCGCGTGCGGGCGGGGAGCAGCTGCAAACGGAGACGTGAAGTCGGACACTTTCTGGTTCCCGTAGTGACCGCTCATGTGGTGTTTGCATACTTTACCACAGCTGAAGTGAAATAAATGCAATATTTGCCAAATACACAGATATTTCAGACACATTTTCATTCAATAGTTTACTACTTCATAGGCTACAGCAGCTGTTTGAACAAGAATAAAGTTCAAGCCTATATCAATGAAGTGGAGTCAACGTTTTTTAATCCGTTTTATTTTGATAAACATGACACAATATAACATCGCAACTACATGAAAAGACTGTTTACTGTTATAAAAAACTGATTTGTGAGCTTTAGTGGAACTAAAGGTGTGAGAATAAACACGAAACGCACGTGATCGTTGTCATGTGGTGAATCCGGCCAATCGTGGAACAGTTGTGTCGTCATCAGAGCTTGTGCAGCTGCTCTTGAGAAGCTGCGCTGGCTGAGTCCTCCGGCTACTCTCGAAACGCTCTCGCAGTACTTTGATGACATACGTCACAGTCACGCGGCGTCGGCGCTGTATCAAGTCAGACAAAATTTCTAACCGGCATGCACTGCTTCAAGTCAGCCACTGATCGGTCTGCGCAGAGCTGCATGAAGTCGAACACACCTCTTGTCTTGGGGCACGTTTAGGTTCAAAACGGTGCGCAACGTTTTGCTACGGTTTCTGAGTTGAACGTCATGTTTCCTGGAAACGGCGTGCACCGTTGTGCAACGGGGTTTGAGATACGTTTTCTCTTGTTTGGTGGGTGTGTCAGAACTGCAGTCCAATCAGCAGCAACATGTATATAAAGCACGCGGTATTAAAGTGAACTCGCACAATGGGTTCAAGGAAAGTAATTTACAAATGTGTTCGATGCAGCTCGGTATACGCAACAACTAAGGATTTTAGAAGACATGTTTGTCGTAAGTTTTATTGTAAAAATATAGGATATCAACATAATGATGTAGTTGTTTATATTTTTAGCTTCATTGCAAGTGTATGACATTTGGTATAGAAATGAACAATTAAGTGCTTTTCCTAAAAATGAGAAAGAAAACACAGGGTATTAAAACAGTATGAACTACAAATAAAGTCAGTATGTGAGGCTAAATAGATGTGTTTTAATCTGAATAAGGTAAGATGTGTGCTTCCATTTCAGTTTCCACAAATCCCTTCACTCGATTGGGATGTTCTCTTGTGTTCTGGGCGGCAAGTGCAGTAACTGTAACATCGGGCATATTTTGTAGTATTAAACACATATTTATAAATGTAATGCAACAAAGCTGACAACCATAAAATGCAAGTAGGCGTATACGTTAACGCCCCGTTTATTACGCGTTTACCGAGCCGATCAAAGCTGAAACAGTGTTAGTGCTGTGAAACTCATTTATGTAGGTGAATTTTACAGATACTGATGAATTTCATGTGTTCACCTTGATAATAAAACATTAAGCATGATGTGTGTGTGTAATTATTTCTTTAGACAAGGACAGAAGATCAGACCAGCTTAAAAAAAGTTGGAAACCATCACAGAAATTCTAATGGTTTCTATTAAAATACCAATAGGAACCATTGGCTTTTACCATTTAAACCACTACAGAATTATTTTTTTGTTGTGTGTTTGGGACATATTCCATTAGGATGTAATGCCCCCACCAATAGAACCCAACACATATCAGTAGAGACCCACAGAGACCACTATAATTCCCATTACAAACAATAAAATTCCCATGAAAACCATTAAATCCAATATAATTTCTGTAATGGTTTCCATGACTATAGAAACCATTACATTACTGCTTCTTTCCTGTGGGAAGCAGAACTCTATAACTTGTTAACTGGTGGGACTGATATTTTTGTATGTTGAAAAGGATGTGCTTGTGTAACTGGTTGTACTTGTATAATGTAGCAGAGGGTTTTTGAAGTTTCTGTCTTTCTCCATATCATTCACTACATATGTAAAAAATATTTGTATGCAGAAATGTCAAAGACCTAACCTTATTCGGGGAAATAAGTTTAAAGTGTTCCCAAACTTGGGAACGACTTCTCTTTCTCGCTGGCTCCATCACAACACTGAAATAAACTCAATCCACTCTCAACAATAACGCAATCCAAACACCGACTACTACAACCCACGGTGTTGCCATGGTTTGGCTTCACTTTTATAAGAAATACAGCCGCCAGGTTTCAAACCTGTCAACACTGGATTGGGCTGTCAAAGCAGTCAGGTGGTTCACTACAGGAGTGAACCAGTGTGTTTGCTTCAGACGTCATTTTCACGTGACTAGTGACGTAATGATACAAGCTCCGAAGCAGTGGTTCATTGCAAGGACCGTTCGAGTTTGAAGCAAGCTTCGGAGCGTTGGTGTCAGACGTAACATCACTACTTGCCTCCAGTGGATCCCTTACAGGAAACTTGACCTACCATTAACCCAGAAGTTGCTCTCCTAAATCTGCGTCCAGGAGAACTTACCATAGAGGATTATGTGGCAGAGTTTTGTGAACTCTCTCACCTATTGGACTTTAATGATATGGCCCTTAATAGTCCAGTCATTTTAAGCCAAAATGAGGGTCAACTAGTGATGTATGTCTCGAGACCGGTCTTGGTCTCGAGACCGGTCTCGAGACCACTTTTACGTGGTCTCGGTCTTGTCACGGCCTTGACGGTCTTTGGTCTCGGTCTTGTCTTGGTCTCGGACCTCTCGGTCTTGTCTAGGTCTCGCTGTCTCAGACCGACATAGTGGTCAGGGGATTGAGCAATACAATACTACAATATCCACGACGATATCCGCAACGTATTGAAGCGCTGCGAGTGAAGACAGTGCGGTGCGCGCGAGCCACGCGAGAAAACACTGTATCCGCGCCACTGATCGCAGCGGCAACGAGCACTTTGATCACTTGATTTAAAAAACACATATCATGTACAGTTTTTGATATATTAATATTTAGTAAAACACATATCAGTGACATGATGGGTTTTACCTTCATTGATTTTAGGTAACTGCACAACTGAACTGACAGATGACTTTGAGCGCACCGCCAACGGTGTGTGTGTGTGTGTGTGTGTGTGTAACCATAGCAACAAAAACGACCAACTTTCGGATCCTGCACTTAAGCCTATAATTTCGTTTTTAAAAATATAATTATGTATTTAAAAGTTGCAGAATGGATTCATTTGGAGACTTCGAAATCAGCAGAGATAGGCAGGCAAATGCAAAACAACATTTGACAAGTTATTGCTTATTAGCTTCAACACTAATGTTTTTTTCCCCTCCGGTCTTGACTTGGTCTCGGTCTTAGTCTCGACTTGGTCTTGGTCTCGACTTGGTCTGTCTTGGTCTTGGTCTTGGTCTTGGTCTTGTCTTGGTCTCGATACCATCTGGTCTTGGTAGTGTCTTGGTCTCGGTTTAGGCGGTCTCGACTACAAGTCTAGGGTCAACCTTGAACAAATTGCAACAGAAGCAAACTCAACTGATTTTGTATCCTCAATATGTCCTGAGTAAGGAAAAAAAAGCCCCGAAGAATCCCATTAGGGGAAAGTTTAGAAAAAGACCCAAATATATCCCATTCATACGCCTATTCATTCTTTTTCTCACGTGAAAAGGGTAAAAAATTTAACCTTTAGATATCATCATGAAAATCACTGAGTTGATTACTTACATCAAGACAAACAAAAAATGTATTACAAGTTTTTTGCAATTGTTTGTTAACATGGACAAATGGTGCATAATCTAATTACATATGTGCTAATTTGCATAAATACCCCAACAGATCTAAACATTGGGTATAGCAGGTGAAAATGTCTTGTATAATTTTGTTGACATATAACAGTAAACTATTTAATATTAAGGTCTGAATGGAACCCATTTAGGCTACCCATGAACATTAATGCAGAGATGAGAGATGGGGTTTGGGGCTGGGTCAGTGGGACTGTTTCTGGGGGATGAGTCTGAGGGAAGAACAGGAGAAATGGGTAAGGAGAATGCAGAAGACAAAAGGTAGGTGAAATAAAAAGTGCCTGGATCAAAAAATCTAATTACGTACACAATGCACTCAATGCCCAAACCCCATCTCTGCAATAATAATTAATAAAGGCTGGTTTCTAAAGTACTTCTTCCTGTATTAATGTTCATGGGTAGCCTAAATGGGTTCCATTCAGACCTTAACATTAAGTCTTTTACTGTTATATGTCAACAATATTCAAAAAAACATTTTCCCCTGCTATACCCAATGTTTAGATCTGTTTGGGTAATTATGCAAATTAGCTAATACGTAATTATATTATGCACCGTTTGTCCATGTTAACAAACAATTTAAAAAAACTTGTAATACATTTTTTGTTTGTCTTGATGTAAGTAATCAACTTAGTGATTTTCATGATGATATCTAAAGGTTAAAATGTTTACCCTTTTCACGTGAGAAAAAGAATGAATAGGCGTATGAATGGGATATATTTGGGTCTTTTTCTAAACGTTCCCCTAATGGGATTCTTCTGGGCTTTTTTTTCCTTACTCAGGACATATTGAGGATACAAAATCAGTTGAGTTTGCTTCTGTTGCAATTTGTTCAACCTTTTTTCATAAAATGACTGGACTATAAGGACATATTTAGGGTAGGTTTAAATGAACCTATCCGGTCTTGTTTGCCAGGTGGAAAGATTCACTTTTCCCTGGCCCAATACTATGCCCTTTGTTGAGCGGCTCAACATTTACTGTGGGTTTTGCGGATGAGGAGGCCCGCAACCCCACAGTACCTGCCAACCCTGAGTCTCTTCACGTCATGTTTGCCAAGCCTGAGTCTCTTCACTTCATGCCTGCCAAGTCTTAGGTTCTTTATACAACTTGCCTTCAGTGGATCCTTTACAGTGCCATGTCTTTGGAAACCCAAACAAACACAGAGCATGTGGACTCTACACAGAACAGCTATATTTCCATATCAAACTCCAATTGGCTTGTTTGTTTTGTCAACTGTTTATGCACAGTATACAATGCATGGTGTCAACCATTTAAAACGGCATGATTCATCTTTAAAAGATCGCAATCTTGATTCAAACACCTATGCTCCCTAAATGATGACAATTCACCTGTGACTATTAAACATTTGACAAGTACGATGACAATGCAACATTCAAATATACGCTGGCACTGCCACAGACCCAGAGAGAGCAGTTGTCATAGGTATGAAACAGCGTTGCAGTCTTTTCAACCACACAGTATCATTATTTCTGTTACAATAATTCAAATTATCACAGAGTGAGTCACTAAATCATTCATTCAAACCCATTTTTAAAAATAATTCAAATGAATTAAATATTTTAAATAGAATGCAGCAATTAACATTTTAGGAATATGTTATTTTGTTTACTTCTATTCAGAATTGTGGGAGAATCGTGATCTCTATTTAAAATAAATAAATATAAAAAACAATTGTGATTCTCAGTTTACCCAGAATCGTGCAATTTCTTGAATGCTGCTATTAAATGCTTTGGCGGGCTGTGTACAGCTCACTCTATGCTAATAGGGCAGAGTCCTTCAGCAGTCGTGGTTGGGGCCTAAGCATTTGTGACGTCACAAAATCTAGAATTGAGAATTTTTACTATTACAGGGGTGGTTGTGTACACACACTGCTGACATACATTTATGTTACAACACCATGTAAAAGGGGATTTTGCATATTAGGTCCCCTTTAATTTAGTGAGTGGTGTCAAGTTATACATTGTATTTTTTTAATAGAGATTTGTGTTTTTTGTAGAAAGATGTATGTACCTGGCATTTTTTGGCTGATTCCTTAAGCTCGTCGAGTTTGTTTTCCTTCTGATTGATCATCCTTTCCAGCTCTTCAATAGTTGTTTGCTGCTCAGCCTGTACACACACACACACACACACACACACACACACACACACACACACACACACACACACACACACACACACACACACACACACACACACACACACACACACACACACACACACACACACACACACAGCTTTCTGAGTACACTGAATTAATCTAAAGTCAATTAAAATTATATCAAAACCCGGTGTGATGGGCAACTATGTAAATCCAAATTTTGTGTTTAATAAGTTATAAATTCAATGATTCAACAGTATTTGTTTCTTTCTCAATTAATTAAAAAACTCGCCAGTTTAAGTTTTGTTTATTCTTTTTGGGAAACAATTCAAACACTATCTCAGGTGAAAAGATTAATCTGTGTTATTTCCCGAGAGCTTGATTTTCTCACCTGTCTCCTTTCTCTCTCTATCTCCACAGGTATCACATCTCCACCCAACTTCACACATAAGGTGCAGATGCAGCGCTCGTCCCGTCTGCAGAAGAGTTCCAGAGGCCTACCATGCGCATTGCATGCTCTCTGATCCAACTTCTCCATGGGATTCACCAGTTTATGGGATTTGAATCTCACCATAGACTGGTGCGGCTTCAGGTGTTGATCGCAGTATGAAAGAAGGCAGTTCAAGCAGGACTTCACAGCTCTGAACGTGAGGTGCTCGTCACAGACGTCACATGGGACCACGCCTCTTTCTCCACAGAAGAGGCTCATGTTGGGTAACTGCATCTGGTAAAATTCTCGCAGGAGGGCGTCGAGCGCTGCGTTCACAGATGGCTTGGTGGACACATGCTCCTGGCAAAGAGGGCAGTGTGGCTCGGACATGCTTATGTGCTGGTCCAGGCAACGCTTGCAGAAGTTGTGCCCACATGTGGTTGAGACCGGATCTGCTAACAGGTTTTTACAGATGGGGCAATGAAGGTGGCGAGAGACGTCTAAGGCTGTAGTCATTTTGATTGTCTGTCAAAACTAAGGGGAAAACAGAACAGCTACAATTAATACAACATTAATTATAATATTAATGGCCATGGATTAATTACACCTAAAAAAAATTTAATAAGTTATAAGAAACCTTAAAACCCTAAGTTATAAGGTTAAGGATACTCTTAGAAAAAAAAAAACCTAAGGCTCCTTAAGGGTCATAAAGGGGTTAAGTGAGTCTTTCCCCTTAATTGCTTAAGTGTTCCTTTAGGTTCTGTTATGCATTGCATAAAAGTCCTTGGTAACCATTTGTTTTTGGTTGTTCCCTGCCGGTCATCCACTTCAGGGTATCGGACATACTTCTCGTAATGCACCAGATGTCAGTCTAGAGAGGAATATCTGGCAGCATGGCGACTTCTGCCAAATGTGTCTCAATGGGTCCTGCAGATCATAGGCTATGTTCACACTTCAATTTATGTATCTGATTGGAATCTACGGTGGCCGAGATGTGCAAAACAAAACAATTCCGAAAACAAAACAACAAATTTATAAAGGCAATCAGAAAACACAATGACAAATCTGAAAACAAAATAACAAATCAGAAAACACAACGACAAATCTGAAAACAAATTAGCAAGTCAGAAAACACAACGACAAGCCAGACAGAACGGAAAAGGTAGGTATATATGGCGAATGGAATACTGACCGCTGATTGGACGAGACATCTGTCAATCAAGACTTGCAGAAAGTACAGGAGCAGACTGTGGCAGGAGAGTCGATTTGCACTGGCATGTGTAAATATTAGAGCTGTATCGTCTACAATAATAATTGTTTGTTTTTAATGATGTGCGAGGCTGCGAGCTGGTGTTTGTCACTCACTTTGCTAAACAAAAACACTGTTAGATTGCAGTAATGCCCCACAAAATCCAGATATAGAGGCAATGCCCCTGCATGAGCTTTTGTGTTATATAATATGTTAAGCACACAAGCAAGAGTGTTGTTTTTTCCACATGTGATATTAATTTTATACAGATCAATAAACAAGACGTTAATATTGTGAATTACAATTTGTCAATGATGTAAGTTTGTTTTCTCTATTTCACCAACGAAAATAGTTCCAAACTAACGCCCCCGTTTACACGAAGGGAAGACGCAGATATTTCCCTGCGGTTTGGCCTCTCATTTACACGAAAACCGAAGGCGAAGCACTGCTACTTGGGCGGAGTGATAACCACAGCACCTGAGACGCGCCGTGGTGAGGAGCAGAGAGCGCGTCTCAGGTGCTGCGGTTATCACTCCGCCCAAGTAGCAGTGCTTCGCCTTCAGAGAATATAGTTCCCAGTTTTTATACGGTTAAAATATGTCTGTGTCTCATGTGACTTAGTTTTTTGTACAGTCTGTGACTATACAAATCACAACATGTAAATAGGAAAATGTTTGCGTTATTTTGTCACTTATTTGGATTAGTATGCTAGCTGCAACCATTTACATCCAGTCTTTGTGCTAAGCTAGGCTAGCGGTGGGTGCGTCAAACAGACTTATAGCACGCACGGAGATGAAAAAGGTATGTATGGACTTATCTAACTCTGGGGGATAAGGTGAATAGGCTAAAGTCCCAAAAAGTCGGAGTGTTCCTTTAAGACGCTAAAGGGAAACCAAACTGTATAGACTTCCTCTCTGTGGTACTATGTGTCAAGCAGGAAAAGCTGTTTGGTGTCTTTCAAGGCTGTGTAATAGCAGATGAAAAACCAAGTTGATTAATGAGCAGAATAGAACTGAATTGGGAAGTCTTCTGATGGGAATGGTGTTGATTGGTGCCTCAGAGAATTAAGCATATATATTTGAGAATACAGATGATGCATGATTGCCGTTTACTTTATTGAAAGCATTGGTGGCTTAATGGGTGTCTGAAGAGATGACTTTAATGTTGAATTGGGTCTTGTATATGGAAGTGGCAAAGTGATTGATTTAATTTGTGAGCTTTTTGTTTTGTTTGTTTTGGACCTACAACTGACGGTGGGGTTCCCATTTTCTTATGGTTTACTCTGTTAAGTTTTGGGGACTAGATGGTAGGGGTTTGATTTTCTTTACAATTGTGGAGGTTGGAGTGAATTTGTGTTTGGTGAACTTGTGAGTGTGCACATAGTTTCAGAGCAATTTCTATTGGATAGGATTGGGAACACTGTTGTCTATAACGGTTACAATTTTGTTTGTTTTCTCTCTTTGCCAGTTCTGATTACCCCATGTGCTCCTTGTGAATATTGTGCAATAAACTTAGATTATCATATTGTAGTTCTATTAAGTACCTGTTATAGACTTTATTTACATTTTTTTTAAAAATTCTTCATTTTTATTTAAAATGAAATGCCTCTTCCAACTGATAAGAGATGGGTATATGGATAAGAAATGGATCCGGAAAAGGGAGACTAGAACTCATTCGTTCGCGTCAAAAGCTAAATCTGCTGTTTTTACTCTACACGCCACTCCACCACTTTACCAGATTGGGTTCTTTTAAAATTTTGTCTGACCAAACCAGATGGTAGGAAGTTTTTAATATGAATTTTTTTTCTCCATAATAATCACACTAAATTAGCCAGTTAAAGCTCCAGTCCATAACTTTTTTGAAAAAATTATCCAAAATTAATTTTTGAGCTAGTACATAACCAGCCAGTGTTCAAAACAATCTGCTTGCCTTAGCTCGATTCAAAGCGGTAAGCTTGTGATAATGTTTTTAATTCCAGTGGTACTGGTGGATTTCCACGGGAAATTCGAGCATGTCTTTGCGTCATTACGTCACATCTACCAGCGGGCACCATGATATCAATTTGACGTCAAAAGTTGGTCAAGACTTGATCAAGATATTTTATATCATTTTAAGGTCAGTTTGAAAAGAAAATGTCTTCCAGTGGTAATTAGATGAAAAGAGAAAGTTAATACCCACACTGAAATTGGTTTATGTATATGCAGGTCAATATGTTTGACATTCATTTTACATCAAATCAATGTCAAGGATTGGTTTTGACGTCAATTTTATTTGCATATTTGACCTGTTCCTTGACGTTGATTTTGACATCAATTTGATGTCTTTTCAACATCAATTGCCCACTGTACACATAAAGAAGGAGTCTCGGCTAGTAAGCTATATTGCGTGTGAGGATGTTGGAGGTGGAGATTTATAGTCTTTTCTCACAGCACTTGATATAATTAAACTTATTAATTTGATGGCGGATCCAGAAAGGTTAAAACGACAATCAGCAGTGACAATTGGAGATTCACCCGTTGTAAAATGCTAAAGACTTGGGACTGAGAGTTTGGAAAAAGAGACTGCAACAGGGCCCATGCGAAAACAGGGATACATATCTGTAGTCACGCAATGCTGATGTTGTTAACATTAACAATTTGAGAACAAAGTATAATTTGCATGGTTTGACGTGATATGATAAACGATCGTTATATAGATTTAATCAGCACGATTTAGGCTACTGCAATGCTTTTTTTTCAGTTAGTTGGTCAGAAGAGCAAAAGTGGATGTTACGGATTTCCAGAAATGCGATTTCCAGAAATGCGATCTGAATAGGATTTCAAACCACATGAAGCTTGAAATGGATTTGTAAAAATCGCGTTTCATGTGATTTTTTTTTTTTTTTTTTTTTTGCTGTTCACATTAGCTAAAGCTGATTGGATTTCAATCGGATATGCAAAAAAATCGGATTTGGACTGACAGTCTGAACGTAGCCATAGAGAGAGAATATAGAATTCAGTTTGGTTCTCGTCCACCTTGTTTCAACGGGGTACTTCTGTCCACAGTGGTCAGTTAAGAGCAGACTCAGGTGCTGAAGCAGGAAGTTCAGTCTCTTTTGGTGGAAGAGGCCAAAGAACGTGTTCCTCTTCCCGAGTGTTACATTGTCAGTCTGTTTTGATTTCCAGACTGATCTCATGAAATGGCGTATGTATGACACGCCAATTCGTATTTCCATTTTTGGCGTGCTATCAACACGCATAATCGCTTTTCAGCGTGTTTATCAACGCCTTTGACTTAACGTTATATTACTGTATTATGTATATATAAATATATGACCTACCCCAACCCCGTCCCTAAACCTACCCGTCACTGGGGTTAATACCATTTATGAGTCTTCTCCTACCATCCTAGGAAAAGAAATATCGCTCCACAGATGTAGATATAGATTTTGCTTCGTTTCGCTCGGACATTTAACGGCGTACACATACACGCGGAATCACTCGGACATTTAATGGCGTAGACATACACGCAAAAGATTTCGGCGTGGACATACACGCGGATAGCTCAAAATGCGTATAGATAACACGCCACTTGAATTGAAAGTGGCGTGTATGTTTACGCAAAGTCATGATGTCATGTTGCGATTTCTGTCTTTGTCTGTGTTCTGTCTATTAGTTCAGTTCAGTCTTCCTCCACCCCTGCCTGTTTGTTTCCATAGTTACTTATTGATTACTTATAAATATAGCCTATACATGAATATCAGATGATGTCACCAACGTCTCCTCACTGACGTCACTCACTTCTAAAACTTGTCTGCAGCCATCTTGAGTACCTGATTCGCCAAGATCGATACGGCAGTCGCAACATAAATCTGTAACGTTCGTTATTTTGAATAGAAATCATCGCTCAAAGCATTCATTCACGTCTTCTCCGGTTCATTTGTGTTCAAATACATGCAATATATAGCATCCGCCAGGGCTATTAGTCCAATGGTGCGCATTTTTGGAGAAATAATGATTAATTATCACGTTTGTAAAATATTTCGTCATACAGAATGACATTTCTATTTATTTTCCACTGAATTATGCGATCTGAAGAGCTCAAACAGCGAATGCAGCGAGATCTGTGTCTCGTTTTCCTGATTTGCATCAAATTATGATCTCAGCGCGCGCTCATTCGCTGTACAGCTGTCAATCATCTTAACGTTACGTGGTTCAACGTGACCATTATCCTGCCTCCTCATTCTGACATCCGTGATAACAAAGCTAATAAATGCACGATTTGAAGTAAATTTGATTTGTGTGTGATTTTCCTGCGATTGGGGTATTCATATGAAAAAAGAATGTTTACAGTATGCATGCTAGGTAAGGATAGCCCATAGCTTCGTATACAATGCTAAATATACCATATTTAAAAAAAATAGTTTGACTTGAAACCAATTTAAGCCGCGACCGGAATATGATACAAATACACGATGGTGTTTTAAAGTGAGTTTTAAGTAAAAGTGTAATATTAATCAATTAAATTGTGTCATGTAGCTTTATGCTACCTGTTGTGCTAATGCACCTGCTGCAGGAGCTATTCTATTCCATACAATAATTAAGAAAAAAAGAAGTCAAATAATGTTTATTAGTCAAGAATAGTTATTTTGTTGTTTGTTTTCTAACAAGACTTAAGATAATAGGCTTGTCAGTACCATAGACAGTATTCGGTAGGTACTCAAGATGGCGGCAGCCAACTGGAAAAAGAGTGGTTGACGTAAGAGGTCACGTGACTGATATTCATGTATAAAGCCCAAATGTGGCCCTTATGGAACCCTAAAACAAACGGGGCCAAAAACTTTAACCAAGCTGGAGCCCACATTCAGCCCATTAAAGTGCCCACTCTGACCCCATATCCAGATGAGGCCCATACCCAGATAAATCCCATGTGGTCATGTTGGCTGGGACATTACTAGGTGGTTGCTAGGGTGTTGTTAAGCAGTGTATAGAGTGTTCTGTGTAGCTTACCCTTGTGAAAAAGAAGTGTGCTTAATTGTATTGAAAGCGTACTTTTTGTGTGCTTAAACTAATAAAAGTATACTTTTTGAAAAGTGTACTTGCAGATAATATAATATAATTAAAATTAAAGACCACTTAAGTGTACTTAAAGGGAATACACTTTAATGACAATATTTATTAACTCACTTAAGTGCACTTTTTACAAATGCACTTTGTAATAATATCTAATTAAGTTTAACTTAAAGTAAGTACACTTTCATCACAATATTTATAAACACACTTAAGTGCACTTTTAAAAATGCACTTTGTAATAATATGTAATTAATTTTAACTTAAAGTAAGTACACTTTCATGACAATATTTCTAAACACACTTAAGTGTACTTTTTAAAAATGCACTTTGTAATAATGTCAAATTAAGTTTTACTTAAAGAAAGTACACTTTCATGATCATATTTGTAAACACACTTAAGTGCACTTTTTACAAATGCACTTTGTAATAATATCTAATTAAGCTTAACTTAAAGTACACTTTCATCACAATATTTCTAAACACACTTAAGTGCATGTTTTAAAACAATCACTTTTTAATTGTGTCTACTTAAGTTTTACTTAAACATACATTTTAAATAATTATGATTTTATAGTGTTTTAAATTTATTAAAGTTACAAGTTATTAAATGAAATTTATTTTGATGTATTGACTAATATACTAAATAAAATAATAATTTTAATGGAAAACATGGAAAGTAATTCACTTTAATTTCAACTCAAGTGTGTTGTCCAAAAATAATTTGTTCATGTATTTTAAATGTGTTTAGTCTAAATATACTGTGTGCATTAATATTGAACAAAAATATTGACTTTTAGTTAGGTGAAATAGTAAAGTTTTGTGAACTTACAGTCTAACAACACAATGAGTTAGAACAAATTCAACTTAAACAGAAAAGCTGAAATAAAAATATACTCGATACGAACATGGTGTTTAATGCGCATGCGCCAGAAATACTACGTCATGATGACGCACTACTTCACTAGAGTTTGAAAAATGCGCTGTTATGTTTCTGTAATGGCGGTGCATGAGGAAACTGAAGCTTCCCAAACAAGAAGAGAACAAAAGGAGCGCCACGTTTGGCTGTTTGTAGATGAGATGTTATACTGCAAATAATCAGTCAAGTAAGTATATCTTGATGCTTTCTTTATTGAATTTTTTTTCACCGCAGTTGATATTGCGATTAAGAGTGCTTTTTAATCGCAGATAGTAACGTTATACGCAATAGATTCGGGAGGTAAATTAATCATGTTTCCAATAATGTATCTATGATTGCATTCAAATAATGTCTTACATCGTAATGTGCTCGGGTGTGTGGGCGTGTTCGAGGAATTTGTCTACTGAAATGTGTTTTTTTTAAATATATTTATTCATTTATTTATTTTTACTAAACCGACTTTTTAAATAATTTTAAACAAACTAAATGAGTATGACTTAAAGTTAAATTTGCATGCTGAATGCTGATCCAATATTGTAACTCTCGAAGACATTTATATTAATCAATCTTAACCACCATACATATTTAATATATCACCCACCTCTAGAAATAATGCTTGTAACGTTAATGTATTTAATTTCGTTTTGCATTTGAAGAGTGAGTTGTTCAGTTACTATTTGTTTTGGAATATGTCATATTTTTGTGCTTATCTGGATTAAACATTCATTTTGCAGGATCAGTTCACATTTGTTATTGGAGATACAGGGCAAGCGGTGTGGAATCACAGACCTGTATTGATGAGGTGATGTTACAAGATTTATTATGAATTTTTGCCCAGCCAGCACACCAAGCTAAAACACTGCTATCAAGTCCCTAACTATCCCTATAGCTTTTAATGCTTTGAATCTTTTCCATTTGCAAGTAATACATTCCCACCTGTGCATTTACATATGCCCCTATAATCATCATATATTTTACAGGTAACAAACCAAATGAAGAAGGCTGCCGCATTACTGTGTCAACCGTGGTAAATACAGGAACATCCTTCATGAAGATACTAAGATGCAAGCTTAAAATTCAAGATAACCTTTCTCAATTTGCATGGGTCTTGGGTTTGCATGGGTCATTAACCTATATTTGTGTAATTGATAAAGTTATGTTTAATTCCTTTTAAAGTAGCAAAATAAATGTTCTCTATTTTTAATGACTTTAAGCCCAGTGTCAGTGAAGATGGCGTGGTCAGTGCAATCCTGGTGTTTGTGGGAAATAGAGGAACCTTGCCCAGCTTTCTACTACGGTGTGACCCTGATGAGGTAATTCATCACATCACACATTCATCAACAGTTAGCAGTCAAAAGTTTACGTACACCTTGCAGAATAAACTGCTTCATCAGGGTAGTACTAAATAAAAAGACAACATATACATTTTTGTGTTCCCTCTTATTGCTAAAATAAAGACTAAAATACTGCAAGGTGTATATAAACTTTAACGGGAAAATATCTATCACTTTCATTCATTTGAGCCAAATATAATAATGGACTGGATATGTTTTATAAACAAATGTTTTCCTTCACTTTTTTTTCCCTCAAGGTATTTTTTCTGACTTTCCTGCCTCTTTGGAACAAATCCATTCACATTTACTTTGGAGAGCACCGGGACATTGACATAAACAGCACTTTCCAACTACTTCAAAACATTTGGTGACAAATGATTTTGGTTTTCTTGTTTTTGTGCCTTTAGATTTCTTCAGTTTTAGTTTTTTTGTTTTTAGACAAACTTGAAAAGGTTTAAGAGCTAAAATTAACAAGGTTCGGTAACACTTTAATTAGGTCTCATTTGTTAATATTAGTTTATGTATTAGCCAACATGATCTAAAAATGTGCATATTTTTACAGTATGTATGAATCTTTGTTAATATTAGTTAATTAAAATATAGTTTGTTAAAGTTAGTTAATACAATTTATAGTCATTGTTCATGTGAGTTCACAGTGCATTATAATTTTAATACACAACTTTTGAATATAATAATGCATTATTAAATGTTTAAATTAACATTAACTAAGACTAATAAATGCTTAAAGTATTATTCATTTTTAGTTCATGTTAACTGAAGGAGTTAACTAATAATACCTTGTTGTAAAGCATTACCCGTTTGAATCTTAGTGTTCACATTTTGCAGAACGTCACATCACATGATTTTGTTTGTATTAATTCATGGGTTGTGTGTTTGATGTACTGTGTGTTTGCTTCTAAAATGATGTTTGTACTGGTAATCCCTAGGTTATGGGGACCAAATTACCCCAAAAGTATAGTAATACCAGTAAATTACATGGAAAGAATCTTATAAATCATACAGAATGATGTTTTCTGAAAATGTAAAAACACAAAAATGTTTTCTGTGATGATAGGTTTAGGTACCTTTGTATGAGGGAGAACATGATTGTGCATATAAGCATCATTGCCCTCCAGACTCTTTCTAAATTAGAGTTAAAGGGATAGTTCACTTTAAAATGATAATTCTGTCATCATATACTCACCCTCAACTTACACTTAAGTGATCTTATGAATCACTGACAACTCTTAAATAACTGGTTTGTAAATAATGCTATACTTAATTTAGAAATTATTAATTGATCATTAACAAAGTATGAAAATATAATTATTAAACACATTATAGATATGCTTATAAATCAAGAAAAAGCATTTATAGCTGTATTTATAAACTTCTTATTAATGTCTATTAATGCTTTATAAATGATGAATTAACTGTTAACTCATGCTTAACTAATGATTAATAGTGTGCAGTTATTATAAAGTGTTACCTTTCTTTCTTCTGCTGAACACAACGAAGATATTTTGAAGAATGTCAGTAACCAAACAGTTAACTGGTCCCATTGACTTCAATAGTAGGAAACAAAATACCATGGAAGTCAATGGGACCAGTTAACTATTTGGTTACTGACATTTTTCAAAATATCTTCGTTGTGTTCAGCAGAAGAAAAATTCATACAGGTTTGAAACAACTTGAGGGTGAGTATATAATGACAGAATGTGTCATATGTGTCAAAGTGAACTATCCCTTTAAAGTGTTGTAACTGTTTATGTATAGTGTTTCTTGGGTTTTTTCTTGTGCACCAACAGAAAGGTTTTTATGTATTTATTTTAGAGATTGTTTTGTCAGTAAATGTAGAGGGTTTTAAATTGAATTTGTGTTGATTGTAGCTAGGTTAAGACTTTTTTTTGTCCAAATTTGAAAATATTTGCAACAATTTTTTTTTTTTTATTACAAATGTATTTAATTATATAAAAGTGTACATGTATATTACATTAAAGAATATTTTAGTTCACATTAATTGCTTGTCAGTATATTTGGAAGTACACTTTTACCATATTTCAAAGTTCATATACAAATGTATTAAAATCTTAATTTGTTCCAAAAAATCACTCTTAATATCAACTAATAGCATTTAATTTGAGCTTAATCTGTGATACATTTGAAATCAATTACATATAATATGCAATAAGTTTGTCGAAAACATTACACTTAATTCACATTTAAGTGTATTGTTAACTAACATTAAAGTACATTTTAGTTTACATTAATTGCTTGTCAGTGCATTGTGTAGTGCACTTTAAATACATTTTAAATAGACTAGAAGCAATTATGAAAGTAAATATAAAGTTGTATTAAAGTCCCACTTAAGTGGTACCAAAAAATCACTCTTAATGACAACTTATTGCATTTTATTTGAACTTAATATGTGATATATTTGAAATCAATTACACTTAATGTGCATTCAATGCGGCGAAAACATTGCATTTAATTCACACTTAAGTGTATTGTTAACTGACATTATAGTATATTTTAAATCACATTAATTGCGTGTCATTATATTGTGTAGTGCACTTTAAATATATTTTAAATGCACTCGAAGCAATTATGAAAGTAAATATAAAGTTGTATTAAAGTACCAATTAAGTTGTACCAAAAAATCACTCTTAATGACAACTTATTGCATTTTATTTGAACTTAATATATGATATATTTTAAATTAATTATACTTAATGTGCATTCAGTGTGGCCAAAAAATTGCATTTAATTCACAATTAAGTGTATACCTTTAAAGTATATTATTTGTGTAATAAGTACACTTTATAAAAGTACACTAAAGTGCACTTTTTTTTCACAAGGGTAGCATTCCTAAGTGGTTGTAAGCCAGATTGAAAAGAGTCCATTCTCAAGTCTCCATGATGCTGGTCTCTACACATGATGTGTGTGCATTGTGACAAAAGATACAATGCAGAGGTCTCATTTCTTGTAGAACTTCTTGTTCTGTATACGGTACGGCAATGCAACATGTGACTGAGGCTGATAAAACAGCGAGACACATATGCATCTCAAATACATTTATAGCACAAAAATACAACCAAAACAACTTAACCCTTAAAGGAAAACTCCGGTCAATTTTAACATTGAGCTCATTTTTTTGTACATTTGGAGTGCTGTCAGTACAGACAAAAACGACAAAAATCGGTGTTGCCTACACCGTGTTATCCTCTTTTTAAAATTCGCACCCTGTTGACTTCAATGGGGCAAGTTCTAAACCTGCTTTTAGCCTCTTAACATCCTTGATTTGTCATTACGAGTGCACAGCCATGTGAGTGGTGTTATTAAGAGTGACCACGGTCAATCTGACTGCAGTAGATCTGAAAGATATTAATAAAAAATGATGTTAATTCAGCCAGCTCACATACCTGTATTTACTTCCTGTTTTCGTTCGAAGTCCACAGTAGTCAATTGTCGAGTTCGCGCGCGCGATCATTAGTTATATTAGTTACCAATGATCGCGCGCGCGAACTCGGGCACGTGATCGTGATCGGCTTGGAATGCATTTGCAATTTGCACATTGAATTTTGCTACATTCATTGCGGGACACTTACAGAAAACGCAATCGCAAGTGCCTTAAATGTGAGTGTAAATGCAATTAAGAAAAATAACATTTAAATTATAATTTTGCTACAGGTTTTGCTTGAACATGTTCGACATATCTGAGCATTTCTGTAATAGCCTACATTTTCATTTTGCAACTTATAAAGCGTTAAAATCAGTATTCAATTTACATATTAAAACTAGTGTATGAAACGGCAAATGTAAATTATATAATTGATTTTTCATTTTCTTGTTGCACAAATGTAATGGCAATTGTAAATTTAAATACAGAAATGCATTGCCATTTTACATATTGCATTGTCGTTTTGCATATTACATTTCAAATTGATAATTGCTGCCCAAATGCTTCCATACAAAACAACAAACTAACATCACTGTCTTCCCCCCTTGTAACTACTTCGTAAGTGGCCTACCACAAATAACAATGATACACATCTGTTATATCACTTTAACTTCCTATTTCATTTCAGTTCCCCTTTAAACCCTGGTGCCATTGATGCTACATTTTGGCAATCCAATGGTTTTAAATAAAAAATAATTGAAATTGATTCAACAAAAAATGCAATATCAAACTGCACATTTAATATCTTATCTTCTAGCTTAATGGTAAAACCATAAGTCTGATGGCTAAGGAAAGTAATATAATAGCTTTCCTCAACAAGCTGCATGATTTGAGGAATCATTCCCAAGCTGCCAAATTTTAAAACATTGCAATATTTATTGTTTTGAAAAACAACAATACAAAAGTAATTAGCAAACGTGATGGCTTAGAAAAGCAACAAGCAGCGTGATTTCAGAAATTATTCACATATCAAAGTTTAATACTTTTTAATTGTTTTGAAAAACAATAGAATGATGAGCAATAGTAGTGATCCTTTCATTTGCAAACACCCTAATGATCATGAGAAATAAGCAGGAATTACATTTACCTTAATCAGAAGTATGAATTCTTGATTCTTCTCTTCAGTGACTCTGTTCTGTCTCTCTCTCTCCTCCTATTTATGTACAGTAGAGTTTCGTTTCCTCACAATCTCTCTCTCTGTTGTCACTTTCATTCCCAGATAAAGAAGCTGCACCCTCTGTTCACACTCCACATTTACCACACCCTCTGTTACTTACCACTCCACATTACACACATTTTCATCATTACTTTGCATGTGCTTTTGAAGTGCCTGCATTCAATAAATCAAAAGCAACCGCACTAGTTATTACAAACATCAATCAATGACATTATCCATCTTCACATTCTTTGTCCATACATGTATTGCATTAGCTGTTGACTAAATTATAAGGCTACTAAGGTAACTGAGCACATGTTCCCACAGACTCTTGGGAGAGTCTAGGGAGTCAGATAAAATGTTTCCAATGAAAAATTATTTACCTGCATTAGGTAATCATATTACAGGATGTCGAGGAAGGCCAGGGTGGATGAAGATGAACAGGAAGTGTATATATGGTTAAAGGAATTAGGAGGCTTTATAATAACATGTTCATTTGTTTATTCAATCAATTCCGAAAGTCTTAGTTTATTGAGAAATGAATATGCATAACAAGAAGAGTTTAAACTGTATCTGACCAATTAACTTTGAAGGACCTGTTTATCTCCTACTTTATATGTGGGCTCATATGAAAAAGAATCTGAAGTAACACGGATGGAATAGAGCAAAGTTTGTGAGAAAATTTTAACCAATGAATTCATTTTTCTTACGTAAGTGTATGCCCAAAGTGTACCCCTATACAATTATTATACACACAACAATTATTGTGCTTTTTTCTTATATTGAAAGAAACCTTAAATCTGAAGCCCTCATTCACTTTTATTAAATGGAAAAGAGTGTCCATGATATTATTCAACATTTCTCATTTTGTGTTGCAGAGAGGAACAAAGTCATACTGCTTTGGAACAAATTATTACGACTGTGAGTTAAACTGAACGTGTTGCTTAACCTTTTTCCCAATCCATGATGTTAAAAAGCAGAAAGTGAAAGTGAAAGCAAGTGAGCATGTTGCCATGAACAAGAAAGCTTACGGTGAAATGAAACTAATATGCAGAATGTGAAAATGAGTGAGAAATTAAAAAAGTGAACTGACATTAACAGTAAAACTAAAAAGGAAATGTAATCTAAATAAATTTGAAATGTCCATGAAGGAAGGTTATGATGAGTCTCAATCTGAGAATGTATCCTGTAAATAGAAAAACTACTCCAATTACGAGCCCTGGTCTTAGATGTAAAAGGTATTTTAGAAATGAATCCAAAGGCTCTAAAATAGCCGAAGATAATTCGCTTTGGTTGGCACTGAGCCAGAGACGGACGCTCTCAGTGCTTGTCATATATCACAACAATTCAGTGTTTTCAACACTGTTAGAAATTTCTTGTAATTTTACAGGAAATTCCTGGCTAATAGTTGCCGTAAATTTACTGTAAACAGTATACAGGACTGTTATTGTAAAATAACTACAACAAGGCACTGTACTTAATAGAATTTCCTGTAATTTCACAGGATAGAATACTGTAAATATTACAGCAAAATGTTATATTTACGGCCACTCAGTAGCCAGGAATTTCCTGTAATTTTAGGGATTTCCTGTAATTTCACAGGACAGAATATTGTAAATATTACAATTAAATGTTGTAACTTGGATAAATGTCCTCTTTCAGACTTCTGCAAAGAAAAACAAAACACTTAATTTTTTTTTAAATGTATTTTTATTTTCTCTTAAAACTGATGAGAAAACAGAGTGCACAATGCACAAACGTTTTTTCTCTGCCTTGCTGCCCATCTGGGGATTTATGCCGCAAAAGGCTCTGAAAACAGGGAGAAAAACACACTTATCAGGTAACATTTAAGACTGATATGACATGGTCATAACCATGACATGAAACATTAAGGGATCTTTATGAATGAATGAGTGCTTGTGTGTGTGAGACTGAGACTCATTGTAGGCTATATGAGTATGTGTGTGTCTGTGGCTTGGCACGATTGATGCAAGGGTCTGTGATGCGAGTGCACTGGTTGGAGTGGTGTGCATCCAGGGCAGGACTTAGGGTGGTGGGGGCCCCTGGGCTTGAGTCACTTTCGGGCCCTACCTTCTATACATTCCTTTAAATAGAACTAAATGATACATACACAAGCTTTGTATTAGAGCTACACAATTCTGTATAAACTGAGAATAAAAATAGAGATCACGATTCTGAACAAACAACTTAACAAAATAACATAATTTATGTTAATTGCTGAAGTCTATTAAAAATGTTTAATTAATCTGAATTATTTTTAAAAAAAACTTGGGTTTGAATGATTCAATTCCTCAATCAAATACACTTGTTTCATAGATGAATCAGCATTTTTGAACGAATCTCTTGAATGAACGATTCAATGAGAAATGTTTTTTTTTTAAGTAATTTGTCGCCATCTGGTGGCGTAACAATATAATCAATCCAATCTTTATTTGAAGTGCAAAGCTACTTTCAAATGGTGACTGGTACCATAGACAGTGTTACATGTTAAAAAACGTAATAATTTATTTATATGACCACTGATTGAAGCTTAAAAAAGTTTTTTTACAATAAATAAATAATGATTCAAAAAGTTGATCATGTGTTTATTGCAATGTACAAATGTCTTTTGTCAGAATGAGAATAAAACACTTATTTACCTGGAAAACATATTGAAAAACAAACAAATACCCTGTAAGGTGCAATCATAACAAATCATTTGTATTACATATAAATACCGTAAAACTTCAAATAATAGCCGAGTCCCAAATAGACGCCTGTCTCTTTTACACGCCTGGTGTGGCTGCAGGTTTGGGTAAATAAAGGCCGGTCTCAAATAGAGGCCGGGTCTGTTTTTTAGTTTCGGTTGTATTTAATCCTCTAAAACCGTCAGATCGTCCGCTTTTTGGCGGCCGCCAAAGCAAATTGTTGTCCCTCCAAAGCCTTTTTTGATCGGTGAGTGATGTAGAATGACTGCTGCGCCTGACAGGGCGCGTTACGAGCAGAGAGAGAGAGAGAGAGAGAGCGCCCCGGCCGCGCGCGCGCACTCTCACGTCTTCAAACAACACGAGCGCTGTCTTGCTCTCTCCCTCGCGCATATTAATCAAAATCAATTGACACGATAGTAAAAGGTCGGAAGACCGCAGTTTCACGTGGAGCATTTGGAGATTTTTAGAGATTAGAGACAGGCCTATACACTCAATGAACAACATCTCAACACTAAATTATAAAGGCCTGTCTCATATAGACGCCTGTCCAGTAGCGCGGGAAGGGGGGTGCTGCAGCCCCCCTCGTCATAGCCACAGCCCCCTTGGTGGGGGCTGTGGACTAACATATTGTACTAAAAAACGTGGGGGGGGGAAATGAAAATAGACATGCTGTGTTTGAGTGTTCAAGCTACGGAGAAAATGAAATAAAGTTTGAATTTGTCATGCTTAGTTTGTTCCGATCAGAGCATGTGAGCGGAGAGCGCATTTCTGAATCCCTCCGCTCGCTCATTCCGCTCAGGGTCGCGCGCTCAACCCTGAATGGCCTGCTGGTTCGAAAATATGTGGAATAAGGGCTGCCTCCGACTAAAGTTTTCTTCTAGTCGATTAGTAGTTGTTCATTTTAGCCACTGTGGACACATCGCCCCTTTATATTGATTTAATTACTTAAATAGGCTACAGGATGAGCGTTTACGTAGCCTAATATAGCTGCACTCAAGCGCACGCCCGCACTCATAAACCTTGCCACAAAGAACCGGCGAAAGTAATGATTATTAATGTGTCAAAAATAGCAAGGAGACATTTAATTGTTTATTAATAAACAGGTGTTTTCTGTGTCGCTGCAAAGATGAAGTTATGCGGACTCGCCATGAACGCCAGAGAGAAATGCACATTTGATTACATAATCAGAGAGTCGTCTATTTCTTTTCGTTTTGAATAGTTTCGTTTAAAAGAAGACATTTCAAGCTAATAGATATCCTATATTTATAAAATCTGTGAGGCACAAGCTGAGTTTCGGCGCCCTCCAGTTTACGTGCAATGCAAGTGATCGCCGGCGCCTTACATTGTCTGCTATATTTGCTTCTTATTTAGCTATTAAATACAGGCAATTGTTTGATAAAACATATCAAAATTAAGATACAATTTATACTAAACGAAAATATTTTTAAAAGAGTCTTTCTACAACAACAACAACAACAAAGACATTGTGGGTATCTCATGATCTCATGTATCATGTCTTTCTCACGCTGCACGCTCACTTTCATCATAATCAACATTGATTAAATAAAAAATAACATTAGCCTATAATATTTAAACATAAATATGAAACTAAATATGTTTTCTTTAATGGCTACAACATATACAGAGAAATGTCATGTCTTGTCGTCAGCCATAACACAATGACGTCACATATTTTCCAACCCAGCCCTCAGCCCCCCTCGCATGAAACGGCTTCCAGCGCGCCTGCGCCTGTCTCAAATACAAGCCGGTGCAGTTCGACGATTTGGGAAAATAAAAGCCCGGGCCACTATTTGAAGTTTAACGGTAGCTAAATCTATGAGTATATAAATCTTTAAAAAAAACTGTTCCTGGTAAGTGCTGACAGATTGTATACATATAGGCAGTGTTAGGCTTTGGCCTATAGTATGTCTACTACATCACATAAATTACAATCTTAGAGTATAATATATAACAAAATGTTCTCATTTCCATGGCATTTTAAAGATCATTCGATGTAATGTAGTATTTTAGCACAAATACATAGAAATGTATAGAACATGCCTAACTTACTTAAAATTTAGTGGTAGGCTAATATAAGATAGCAATTATAATATAGGAAGTGCCTTCAATTGCAAGAATATAGCAAAATAACTCATTGAACAAAGTGCAAGATAAATTGTATGTGTGTGTAATACGTGAGTAGGTGAGTGTTGTAGTGAAAAATCTAAACCATGCACACAAATTAGAAATGTACAGTCAATAAAATAAAATAAAAATAGTACACTA